TACAGTGGATTTTTGAACATATCGATAGGACATTGACATCAACCAATTTGCTACATCCAGTTAAAGGTGGTAAAAGGTGTTGTAAAAACATAATTCATGATTATACTGATTACTTATCAATGTTATTGGTAATTATGTTGTTTGTCGTGTGTCAGTATCATGATGTTGACAAATGACATATTCATATACTTGTAGGGGTGGTGCATGTGAAATGTGAAATGGCTGTGAAAACGATTATTTTCTTTTCTAATTATAAATAGCAAAAAAAAACATTTAAGAACACATTAAAGGGTGAAACACAACATCTTTCGATTTCTTTTTGTTGTACATTGTGTAACTTTCGAATACGATTTTTAATTATATTAAAACAGTTCAGTTTTAAATAGTAGGTATATGTGGTATTAACAACCATAATTTAAACAACCACTTAAATAAAAGTTAAACCGATTTCAAAATACACCAATAAAAGGTATAAAAAATGCTTTCAAACTTAATTGATGACTGATTAACAACAATATCCTGAAATAAGTGTAGAATTCAATTTAAAAACACAAAAAGAAACATTTTATACGGGCAATAGTTACCTTCTGGTCACTTTGAACTACTTTGAAGGCAATGCCAAGCCAAAGTGGTACTTAATAGGCTTAGTCCTAAGAGAAGTGACTTACGCATTGCTCAAATGATATACATACTTTAGTTTCATCATCAAAGCCAGTAGTCAACTGCTGGACATAGGCCTCTCCCTCTTTCTAGTTTAAGTAGCTTAAAAGTTAAAATATTTTGAGGTGATAATGAAACCTAGTTGGATTATGAAACCCTGTCCCTACACACATGAGGATCTGCGATTTATATGCTTATGTGTAATATATTTTTACACTTTACTAATATTCCTTTAGGAAAATACTATAAATAATAATATAAATTTATTTGTTTATTGATAAGAAACTCAACAGCTTGTTTACATTTCACACATGATTATTGTGACCCTTCCACAATATGCTTAAGCTAATAACAGAGTTTCATGACATTTTGTTGGCACTTTAACTAAGAAGTAGAAATAGCTAAAAATAATAATATGGTAGTGTATCGTTGGTGCCTGTGGAAGGTATTACATGATTTTTGATATTTAAAAAAATAAATGTTTCATTTTCTAAACTTACCAAAAAAGGAAACAAAACAATAAAATATTTATAAAATATCAACTACACCAGTCAAAATTTATATTTTAGCTATAAAAAATATTGGTATGTAAATAGTATAGTATAGTAATAGTAGTAAGGGAATTAGATGACGCAAAATTCAACCTGTATTTAGTTATATATTAAATAAACGAGACTGATTTATCTTATCACTTTTTGTATTACTGGAATGCCAGACGTCATCCTAATACTATGCATAAAGTTGTTATCATCATAAACAGGAAAAAATGTACTTCATAATGAACTGCAAGTGTCTTTTATGCAATACGTCGTCTTTGTTGGATTCTTATTCAGTTATTCATATTGGAGTGTGCGTTCAAGAACTTAGATAATGTTCTGTGCTCATTGTATACATTGATACTTAGTTTTTACAAAGCACGTTGATTGACTTATACAATGATATTAAAACCATCACAGAGAAAATTTATTTTGTAACAATAAAATAATTTGAACTACGTGTAAATTGTTGTCAAAAATATGTTTTTGTAACTCAATTTAATAAGTCTGAAATTTAATATACTCGACCAAATTACAAACGCGACGAAAACATGCCCTTAAAATATTATGTTACCACCGCAGGGTAACAATGTATTGGGCACGCTGTCATTGCGGCTGTAAGACCCGTTAATTAGCATTGGCTCTAGAGGTATCACGGGACCCTCTCATACCAGCTGACGCAGGTGATCACCGGGAGAAGATGTTCCGGAGTTCACCTGTGTCTGATCCTCTAGGAGCCAACTCGATTTTCGGACCGTGGACACGGGGATCCACACGCTGGCAGAAAGTCGTGGCGGCCATGGAGTGGTGGCAATTCTCTCTCTCCGTAACATAATTGCGGCCATGGTACCGAGCGAGAGCGCGTGGAACTCCTTCGTCTCCTTTTACGAGTAAGTTATGCTTGTAAAGGTTTCGGCGGAGCAGGACCAGGAGAGGTCCAGAACTTCCTAGAACTATACACATGTAAATAAAACCGTGACTTATTTTATAATAAAGAATCTAAAATATTTGTATCAATAACTTTAAGTAGCTTGTGCGGAGCTAGGTTTACTTCTCCACGTTTTGTGTCTACCAGTTGGGTCAATTAAGTGTACCAAGTATAAGCTTATTTGATAAAGTGATACAAAAAGATTTAATTTTATCTTTAAGACCTAAGCCTATTGACTTAGTATTAAATCCTACACAAAGCGGTTTTTTCTTGTCGATAAGATTGATGGTTTTTGTGTACGAGTATATTCAATTTCTTTCTTTTCTTAAGGCTGATTGAGTTCTCAACGCGTAACATAATGAAGTACCTTTCTGAAGATTAATTTAGATCTTTGAATTCAGCTGCCTTTAACATAGATATATTGCATGAGTTTTTAAAAGAACTTTAAACTTTAAATCTAAAATATTGAAGCCTATTTCCCTCTAGACGGTCATTGCGTTTTTAGGCATGAATTATGAATAATTCATTTTCTGAAATTAACATGACAACATTTACACTATTTACTTGAATAAGTGTACATTTTCACTAGTAGAACTTAGTACTAGTAGAACTCACGGTGCCGTGGGAAACGAACATCCCTAAAGACCAACCAACCAAAAACCTTTAAAAAGAAACATGTACTTTGACTTAACCAACGAAATTACTAAAAATGGTTATGTCGTTGCGTTGTATGCCGTGTAAGTGGTATACTAGCTAAATCCCTCTATAACCTGCTTAAAGACCTTGGATTGCCAAGAGCTTCGGTAAGCTCTTTTCTTGAGCGAATATCCAAAGCGGCATTGCTAGGCTCGTATTAAATATGGTTATGTGCGGGGATAACACAGCGGACAGTGGAGGTGGGTGCTAACGCGTCGCAAGGAGTACTCCCTAAACCTATACCTGGGTCGAAAATCGCGAGGGTGCCGGGTCAACACGGATGGGGGCACCATCCGTGTTGACCCGGCACCCGTACGGTGAATCCATGGAACGCTAAGAAATAGTTCTTTTTTTTACACATTTCTAGATGAACACAACATGTGCATTATTCATTATTGTAACACTCATTTATTAGTATAAACAAACTACATCTTAAACGTCTAAAAATGAATGATACGGTGATCGACCCAAATACTTGAACGATAACAAAACCCAATTAGTCATTAAATAAGCGTATGAATGATAATTAAATTTCCGAACGAGCAAATAGCAACAACCCATTATACTTAATGCGGGGCAAAGGCTACCCTATTTATGGTTATCATCAACGGTATCTAACTGTAACATATGTTTTTTCACATGTTTGTGATTAGGCCAAGTAAAAAATGCAAATCGTTCGAAGTTTCGAGCTTTCGATTGATGGTTGTGATCAATTTATTACAAACATATGCATAAACATATGTTTGTGGGGTTTCAGTTGTTTGTCTTAAAATTCGTTATAAAGTTGTAATATGTTAGTTATGTAACGACTTGTGATGAATATATAATTGTATCTCGTCAAAAATATAATACATAAACACCCAGTCTTGAAGTTGCAATGCAGTTTTTGTACCGTAAAATGTGGTTCAAGTTGTTATTTTAAGAACTAATAATATTTAATAGTGGCGGTGTCAATATTGAGCATCTTCATTTCATATGAAAGGCTAACTTATTTTACGCTACCTGTAACTGTTCTCATATGGTATGGGCTTTTGCAATATATGCAAAGACCTAGGTTTGGGATGTAAAATATTATATTAAAATAAACGTTGTGTCGGTTTTATGTTCTAGGGGTTTCATGATGAAAATTGCTTAATTTACATACTGTTTCTGGGCCAAAAACGTGAATGTATTTATGCAATGATCTCTTAACGTGTATAGAATGAAGTGTGTTTGAAATGTTATAATGCAATTTTGGAATTTTTATCCCGAACTAAGGAGTAAAAATTTCTCATTCTTATTCTCTAAAATCTCACTGTAATTACAGATATTCTCTTAACCTTTATCAATTATATAGCTGTAGCTTGAGTGAAGAGATGTTCTCCACATTTGGGGTCGAAGCTGATTTTCTTTTCTTTCATGAACTTTTTCATTCATGCCTTTATTATGTTTTTTATACCTTTATTTTTTCCAATAAACAGTTTGAAATCTAGTGTTAACAAATTCGATTTATGTGAAAAATTGTATTATTAAATTGTATTACTGTTTGCTACGTTGACCATGTCTAAAAACTTTAAGGATGAACAATATGTGACCGTACGCTTCATTAATTGCAATGCGATAATATAATACTACAATAGGTGTTTCCTCTTTGTTATTAACCTTATTGCCTTATTTCAATCTCATTTAATAAATTCAAGTTTTAAGTAACAAAGCACTGTGTAATATAGAGTATTTAAATAGGTACTTTTATTCAAAATTCAATCAAAATTACAAGCTCGTGTATTACACGGATATTGATTAACATAAATTAATGGTCAACATCATTTGTCTTCATATACATTACTATATTCATTATTGAAATAAGGCTGGATGTCTACATTGTACATCACAAAAATAATAATCGTATAAATATTTACATAGAAATTACGTGGAAATATAAAGTGCGGAAAATTAATTACAGAAAATAGGTCTTACTGAACTGAACGCTGAGCATTTTGCTCCCTGCTCCATTATAAAGATAAGGACATCTGTGTCCATTAGTAGATATTTATTGCCCTGATATGTAAACTATCTGACGACATCTAAACTAAGACTAAGACGACGTAACTTCAATTGACATATGATATTTAGTGCCCTGATTTGTGAGTTCCTTAGTGCATTTCTTGTAAGTTGCCGTCGACTAGGTGGATGCAGATTGCATGTGGCGCGGTGGTGTGCGGGCTGCAGGCTGGTGGGCGCGGGAGGCTGTTTGGAACTGGTCCGACGCACGCGCGGGGCAGAGTCTCGCGGCGGCCGGCAGCGACGCGCCACTGGCCACGGCTCGTCAGTCGCCACTCAGTGCACGCGCTGCCTCGCCGCCGCTAGTCTGCGTGTCTAGTACGCTCATCGACGATCGTACTTCATTGTCGACGTATCGGACGCACACGCGACATACACGCTAATTAAAATTGCAACTATTTTAACAACATACGAAAATATCGCAATTATAATATTTCGTACACGTGAGTTTCGACATAGCCGCTTTTGTTTACTTTTGCTAAAGGTGTTATTTTATATAAAACTAATTTTTTTGAGTGTATCGCGAGTGAATTTGTTATTTTGACGGTGCTGGAAGGACAGCAATTTTCTATTTAAGGTAAGAAAATTGATACTTAAAAATTTTATGAAAATTGATATCTTTAAATAGGATTCCACACAGGGGTATACTCATTATGAAAATATTTTGTTATATTAGAAAGTCACTTGCACACGAAACAAGTTAACGTACTATAAGTAAGCAAGTAGGTACTCGAGTTGATGTAACCTCGTTATGTTGGGGCAAGTTAAATAATGTTCGATCTTCAAACACATTTACATATTTGGCTAGTTTGAAATTTTAACTATGTTTGAATCAATCATAGTTTTCCTTATTGATATTGTACCAAGCGTGTGGTACATTAATTTAGCGTACTCGCACATGCCTAATGTGTAAGTATAAAAAAAAACGGTTTAAAGTATAGAAAGAAGTGTTTTTCAACTTTTTAAAGACGAGCAATGACACTACCATCGACATCTTGCTATTACTAAAGCAATATAAACTAGAAACCAGTTAATGGTGTGGTAACTTAAAATTAACGTAAGTTATAAAATTAATATACCAGTAACACGGGTACCTATACAACACGCGCATATTGCCACGAAGTTCGAATGCCACTTATCATACAAGTCGAATAAATTTAGAAAGCTATCGACAGAAATGAAAATATAGGCAATAACAAATAAAAATCAGTTATCGCTGATACAGCTGTAACTCCAGCTGGTTTTAATTGATTAAATTAATCACAAATTGGCTTATTATTTTTTTATAAGTCAAAGAAATTTAGTGTTTCATACACTATTCTCATAAGGAATTATTTTGTTAGATTACCATTATGTTTTGTTGCCTATTTGTTTTTAAAATTTGTTAGTACAAAAAATGACGTGTGCGACTGTACCTAACAAATATTTAATTTCTATGTCTGTACCTGGTGTATAATGTAACGCTAGTAAAGTTAAATGTAATAATGTAATATTTTCTGACATGTTTTACGCCACAAAATGAATAGTATCATGTATGTATCATGAAATCATAGTTTTCAAGAGGATTGCGTCACATTATGAAAGGGGAAAAGGATATCGGTCGTATTGAATTGATTATCTTTTAAAATATGAACGTATTCAATCGTAGCGTACTTGTAGTAACTACGCTATTGTTATTGTCGTTCTGTATTGTCAGTCTGCTGTATAAGATTGTAGTATTTGTTGGCCGGGTGATCAGCTGTAGCAATAAGATATTTTTATGATCTTTATGATAGTATACTGGCCGATTACTAAAACTGTCGAGTCACTGGGTGTCATATAACACTGTTAATATGGAGAATCGATTCTCTAATGTAATCTGTTTTCTGAAACAGTACTGTAGCAGTTTATCTGTGGGTAACGAGTCTGGATAAGATGTGTCGATATAAGTATTCACCATTATTGTAGTATGTTCTTAAACAGTACTGCAGCAGTTCGAGTCGGGAGAAAATGTGTCGATCAGGAATTTACCATAATTTTTATTGTGATCATCTATAGATTTTTTTATAAGACAACTCCTATATCCTGTTCAGCGAGGACTTTACAAACATACATGTAACAGACACAAGGAACACCTACACTCAGAACAATAATTTGTAGATCACACAAAGCGTTGTCCCATGTGGGGATCGAACCCATAACACCCAGCGCAGTAGGAAGCGGCGTGGTGACCACTTAAGCCACAACGCCATCCGTTTAAGAAAAATTGATTATTTGCTGTTCTCCAGATGTGACTATATCGAGATCTAGAGAGCATCAGATTATTGGCTTCTAACATACGTTGTTTCGGCCGCTCTGTTTTAAATCCTATTGGTCATGTATGCACAAGAGGGACATTTCGAACCAATTTTCAGGTTGGTTAAAAAAAACGAAGCTGAAAATTGGTTCGAAATGTCTCACACATAATCGGATTATTATGTGGTTATATATTTCTTTTCATGTCAATCATAATTCAATTCTGCATTGTTTCCTTTTATTTTAGGTGTGTTCTCCAGGGCACGAACACGCTTGAGCCTATTCGATTACACTTTTTGTTTGAAAAATTGTTTATTTTATGATTTATGTGTTAGTTTGCTTGATATTTGAAATAAAGAACTGTTAAAGCACTAATCTTCATAGTATAAACCTTGACTTAATTTCATAACTAACTTTCAATAAAAATACATGAATATTAAGTCATACAGTATCAATAGTTTCAGTAACCTCATAAAATTTCAAAACGTCTCTTTAGTAATAACGTAAAAATAAGTTCCTTTGTTCTTATACGATAATTTAAGATAGACAAAATACTCTGATCATAGATATATCCATCCCGACCATTACACGTCCCTGTGACAACAAAACATGTTTCATCGTTTCAGAAGAAGATTGTATGACTCAGTAATCTTTCTTAAGCTATGTTGTAGACAATAGTTGCTAATGACACATTTATCAATACAGTTGCATATCTATATTGTCATACATATATATCAGTATCATCGATACTTCAAGATATGCCTATGTACGTAAACATTGCGATCGATGAGGCATTTTTTCATCATCTATACCATCATATATCATCGTAACATCATAAAGCTGTTTGTTTGTTTGGTTGAACGCGTGAATCTCAACTGGAACTACTGGTTTGAATTGAAAAATTATTTTGGTGTTGGATAGCCAATTCGTTTAGGATGGATATCATCATGCTACGACTAATAGGAGTCGAGCATTATTGAAAGATGGTGCAAAAACAGAGAACATTTATTGCTTTTGAGAGACGCAGACAAGTTGCACGGATCAGCAAGTACAAAAAAATCCAACACTACACCTGCAATACAAGCATCAATTTGATTTAATTAGTGGATATCAGTGTAAAACCTCAGATTGATTCAGTTGCATTGCTTATAGGGAAGGGTTTTATTTCAATGTATGTGTATAAGGATGCTCCAGCTGTTTTATTGTAAAAATATATTTTTTACACTATATCAGTAATCTTTTTTTACACAGTCACTACCCTGAATTAATCAGTCAGGAAAGCGATTTTGAACACTCATAGAAATGGGAGAGTCAGTCGAGTATTGATTACCTATTCATTCACTAACGGCGCTTTGGTGTCCCCATGATGATGATGTGATTCTTATAGTGTGAAAGCCTTGATCCTTTCTTGCCGTTACTTGCGAAACCTAGTAATAATGAGAAAGCTCTTTTTCAAAAGCAATACTAAATTGACACGCTAGTTTTATATGTATAGACGCAAGCAGTATTAGGTCAAATTCCTGAGACCTGATGACCTGAAGGTCACAAACAAGAAACACAAGATAGAAAACACTTAGTTTTCTGGGCTCGATATAACAGAAGTTCTATCAGACCCACCTCCAAGTAGCAAGCCGTTATATTACTGAGTATGTTGACAGCATTTATTTTAACTTAGACTGTCTTCTGGGGTTGCGTTTATCATTATTTAGGCTCATATTACCTCCAGACCTGTTGGTTTAGACAGCCGAAAACTAGTGCGGCTTTAGCAATTCTACCTGATATATTTTCATATTTGAGACGATTACCACTAATGCATCGGAAGATTCGTACTTCATTCATCCGTTTACCTTAAATGTAAATAGAAGCATTGTCTGCTAATGTGAAAAAGTACTAAATAACTTACACAAAAAAAAAAACTATTTAGGACGGCTGTGCCTTTGTTTTGCCTTCTGATTGACTTTGCGGGAGAACTGCCGGGCCACCAGATAGTTTTAATAATCATGTTCTCCGGGAGCTGTATACGATGACTAAGAACGAATTAGTCACATCATCTCTCTATCACGAATGACATGTTCAGTCATAAAAAATATTTTTGTAACAAACAGTATGAAATAAATATAGCGAACACATTCAATACTATTAAATATACAAATTATTTGGTTGATTAAAAATGACATGCATCAATATTATTATACAAGTCTAAAAATAGTAATCTTTGTGTTAATTTGTGAAGAGAACTCTTTGTAAGCATTTATAATATTGTTATTGTGAACGAAGGAAGACGAAATTTGCAATACTTAAAGTTTAAACAATGTGTTACAAATTTAAAAGTTAAGTTCATTCGGCTACACTGGAATACAAGCGTCAAGTATATCTTTTGAGCTGTGATCGATTTCCGAACACATGGCGAGTTAGTAATTCTTTAGTAGTAAAGCTTTCTTTCGCAGTCCAACTTGCAAGTAGGTAGGTCTCAGATAGGATCTCACCACCTCAGTTTATTCCAGGATTTGTAATTATTACCAATGAAAGGGTATTAATGCGACTGATAGTTTTTACGGGCTTTTGTATTGCCTGACGTTTCGACTAGGTTGCCCAATTCGTGCTCAGGCGGACTGGCTCAGGACCTCCTCGCCCATGTATCCATCGTCTTGATGGACATGTTCAATGTGTGCGGCTATCAATAACTGCTAATTCCAAAAATATATTTTTTTACAGAATATAACAAATGTTCGTCTGTATGTTATGAATCGCGTGAAGTATGGCGCTCTTTCCATAAACTAGGTGTAAGTAGAAGAAAAGGTTCAAGCATGTTCCACCATTTATCCGCTAAATATGTAATGTTGGCTAGCTTATCATAAGACATGACAATTTAAAAAATGTTACTTCATTACAACAAAATATTACATTTCATTTTCTATTTTTCCTAAATTAAGGGTGTTTTTGTGTTCATGTGCTTTTTATAAAATTATGCGATACTGTATACGTTTAAAACTATCGACAGTGCCCTTCAAAAGTTACTTTTCCTGCTACTTTTCCTGAAAACGATTGTCTTATTTACAAATTTCTGTTTCTTTACTAACTACATAAATGTAGTGTGCCAAAAGTTATT